CCTTTTTGGTAAATTGATTTTTGCTTCCATGCATTTTTTATGAGCTTTGAGGCTCCTTCCTTCCAGATTCCACTCTCAGTATCCTCCTCCTTGCTGTCCATCTAACAGTGAAAACCACATTATAATTTACTTATTCCTCCTCTTTTCTAATGTTCTGGGCCTTCATTGTCTGGTGTTTATTGCCAGGGTGGGAGCTGCTTCTCTGCAGGCAGTTTGGAATGAGGGATGTGCTGGTTTACAGAGCCCTGCCAAGATGTGCTGTGGGTGCAGGAGGGGAGGTGTCACCTCAGGCAGGTTCTGAGCCCATCCTCCCCCATGTTCTGCCTGCTTTCTGAGGCTGGAGCAAAGTCCTGATGAGCAGGAGGAGCTGCTGTGCACACTCTGAGCCTCTGGGGCTGCAGCAGCTCCTTCACTTCTCACCCACTGACCTTTCCAGCCAGGAATTCAAGCTGAACTTCCCATTTTCCCTACTCAGGGCACATCCCCTGACTCCTCTAGACACAGCATGGGTTTGATTCTTGGCATTGTTCACTGACAAGCCAGGCTCTGTTCTTCTTGCTTTTCCCAGCCATCTGTGCAGGGATATGTCTGCTGTGAGCTGTGCTTCCTTGTGTGCTCTGGGGCAGGGGCACCCCTTTGGAAGCCTTGGGAGAGGCTGATTCTGGGAAAGGGAAACGCTGAGCCCTTCTAGGAACAGGATCCTGTGTGTTCTCTGACCTGGCAGCTGGGGCTGGTTCATGTGGCACCGTGGTGGCTGTCACAGAGCTGCTGCTGACACTCAGGTGTGCTGGGCACCCTTGGGTGGCACCTCTGAGCCTGTTCACCCTAAAATAGGAACGAGGCAGAAAAATGTCTGAAATGTGTCTGTGGGTATTTGTAACAACAGCCTCGGGGTCACACACACTTGCTCATTTTCCTCCTCAGTGCCTGCTGCACCTTTTGAAATGGGATTTCACCCCAAACCCAGTCTGTGCTGGTGGGAAAAGGCCATCCCAGCTCAGCTGCCTTCCAGCCACTTGTTTTGTTGCACCGTGGGGTTTTATCACAGGGCTCTGGACTTTCCCATGTGCTGTTGATTGGGATCTGGCTCTGCCAGGAGCTGTCAGAATGCTGTAACCTTGCCCAGGCCGCTCTGTGAGTCACTTTGGGGTGATGTTACCCTCTAGTGGCCTTTGGAGAGGGATCTGGGAGCGGCTGCTCCAAGGAGGAGCTGCCTGCTGGGCTGGGGGAGGCAGGATTTGTTTGTCATGGGGGGTTTTACACCAGCAGGTGCCCAGATCCATATCCCAGAGCCCAGGGTCAGCTGCAGGGTGACTCCTGCTCTCCCTGAGCACCCTGTGTGAAATCCCTGCTGTGGAATCCCCAATCCTGCCCGTGCCCTGCCTGCTCCGGGCTCCACCCCAGTGCTGAGGGGCCCTTGTGTCTCCTCTCTGCTCCTTTTCCTCCTGGCACGGCCCAGGTGGATTCCCAGGTTAAAGATTTATCTCTGCAGCCCAGGTGTGATGGTGAGGAGCCAGCAGTGCCTCTGCCTGGCCAAAGTGCACTGGGCTGGGGGTGGTGGCTGCTGGTGCCGCCTGGGCACTCCCAGGGGCACATCAAAGCCCTGCTTATCTCTAAGACAAACCCCCCAGGGATGGCCTGGCAGTGAGTGGGGAATAAGGACCAGACAAAAGCAGTGACAAAGATCTGACCCTGCTGCTCTTTGTGCTGCTCAGTAATTGCATCTCCCAGCTCCATCCCTCTCCTGCCTGTCCTTTTGTCCCAGCAAGTCACAGCTATTCTGCCCCATTCTTGTTCTTTTTTTTCCCAGGCATGATCCCCAGCCCTCTCCCATCTCCCTCCCTCACTGTTCCTGCTGCTCCACCTGCCTTCTGATTCATCAGAAAGTCACTTCTTCCTGGAGATTGCAGTGTGTTCTGACCCTTCTGGGCTGCTCATTTAGCTGGCCAAGTGACATGTTCTTACACAGGACCTGCCAGGGGATGGTCACATCCTTTCTGGAGGCCTTCAGCACAACCCCTTCCAAATCTGAGCCCCCTGAGCAATGAGCACTGCTGCTGGGATTGCTGCTCATCAGGGCTGCAGCCCCTCTGGGCCCTTTGGATTCCAGCTGGGACAATTTCCTCATCTTTATCTCCCAGCAGCTTTGGCTCAGTGTTTATGGTCAGGACAGGCTGGAATGCTGTGCATTAATGCTTGGGGAGTGACAGGGCCGAGTTTAACCAAACCAGGGCAGTGCTGGTGCACAGAGCAGAGCCTGGAATGCCCTGGGTCCTGCAGGGCTGGGGCATCGCCAGTTTGGGCTGGGGCAGTGTCAGCAGGCAGGGACAGGGACAGGGACAGGGACAGGGACAGGGACAGGTCGGTGGCTCCCACAGCCCCAGGCTGAGTTGCCCACTCAGGGGTTCCCTGTGGCACAAACTGAGCTTTGCTTCCCGTGCCTGGGAGCTCTTCTGGAGCCTCCTGTGAGCTGCTGGCGCTGTGACAGGCAGGAGCTGGGGATTTCCTCGTTAACGAGCTGGCCTAATTACCTGCTTTGAGTGCCCTGCCAGCTGCCCAGAGTGCTCAGTCAATCACCTCGGGCTCCGGCCTGCAGTGCTGCTCTGGGGAGGGCTGTGCTCTCCTTCCTTGGGCTTTACCCTCACCCCTGTCCCTAAAACAACCAAATCCATTCATTTCTGCTCCCTTTGGGTGTCTGTGCACCCCCTGCCCCTGTGGCTGCAGCCCCCAGCTCAGCTGTGGGGTGTGAGGATGAGCCATTCCCTCTTTGGGTTTTCCTGGGAATTGCCTGGGGACGAGACTGGAGCTGATTTCCCGGATTTTGGGCACACAGGGGGTGCCAGGCAGGGCTGCTGGCCTTCATTTCTTATTTTCTCCCCCTCAGGTCAATGTGATGGCCGTGAGCATCTGCACCCGGGAGGCCTATCAGTCCATGAAGGAGAGAAACATCGACGATGGGCACATCATTAACATTAACAGGTGAACAAAGGGGGCTGTGGGGCCAGCCTGGGGCCCTTCCTGCTCCTCCCTGCAGCACAGAGAGGAATTAAACACCGGCTGGGGTCAGCCTTGGGCTTTCTCCTCCTTACAGGAAGGGTTTCAGCACTGGAGCTTCAGGCTTGCTGTGGTGCTGGTGGGGATTCCTGAGGATTGTGGGGGTTGATGCTTCAGACTTAATCTTTGCTGGTCTAAAGGGAGGAAGACCAAACCAGGGAGAAAGGGATGCCCCAAACCAGGGAGATAAGGATGCCCCAAACCAGGGAGATAAGGATGCCCCAAATGAGGGAGATAAGGATATCTCAAACGAGGGAGATAAGGATACTCTAAATGAGGGAGGAAAGGATACCCCAAACCAGGGAGAAAAGGACATCCCAAACCAGAGAGAAAAGGATCCCCCAGAGGAGGAAGAAAGGGATACCCCAAAAGGAGGGAGAAAAGGATGCCCCAAACCAGGGAGAAAAGAGTATCCCAAACCAGGGAGAAAAGGACATCCCAAACCAGAGGGAAAAGGATGCCCCAAACTAGGGAGATAAGGATGCTCCAAACCACGGGGAAAAGGGTGATACCAACCCCTGCTGATGGGGCAGGGCTGGCGTTTGGTTTCTGGAGCTGCTCAGGGAGGTTTGGCTGTGCCTGTCCCCCACTGCAGCCCCATGCCAGCCCCCAGTGGGTTCATTGTGGTGCCCTGAGTGCCCTGGGGTCCCTGCCAGCTGCCAGCAGCGTGCCCTGTGCTCTGTCCCCAGCATGAACGGGCACAGCGTGGTGCCCCAGTCCGTGGTGCATTTCTACAGTGCCACCAAGTACGCGGTGACAGCGCTGACCGAGGG